CCTCCTGCCAGGGTGTCCCTGCAGCCAGACGGGGCAAAGGGGCTGTGCAAGGGGCTGCAGCAGCCCTAAAGCCCTCCTGAGTGGCTGAAACCTCACAGGCTGGATGTAGATAAAGGCAAAACTTCTTTGGGTTTAAACATCTCCCTGGGGTCTGAGCATCCCCTGCTGCTGGGCAACCTCGGGGCTGCTGCGGGGTGGGAAAGGCAGTGGGATTTTCCCCATCTCCCCACTTTCCACCACAAAGGAAAAATCCCATCTGGGATGAGGCCCGTGGGTTTGGCCAGTAGATGGGTCCCAGAGGAGCAGAGGGACTGGCCCCCCTCTGGCGCCGGCATCGCGGCAGGAATGCAGGGAGCAGCGGCTCAGGCAGCCCAGCGCTGGGAAGCGGGGTGAAGGCCACTGCAGCCACCCCCCCGGGGCTCTGGGGGAAACCCGAGGTCTGTGAGAAAGAGCAGAGCTCACTCCCACCAGGCACTGAGCGCTTCCTCCCAGAGCAGCCGATGGGAATCTGCTCCCAGGCCCCCTCCCTGTCTCCTCCGTGTTCCCCCCATCCCTGTGCTGTGGGAGCACCCTTGTGTGGGGGTCCTGGCCACCCCTGGCACCAGCTTGTGCCCCCAGCTGTGCACTCTGAGAGATGTGATTTGTGCAGTGAGGACCCCCCAAACGGCCTTGTGCATCCCCTCTGGGTGCATCCCAGCACCCAGTGCAGGGCTGGGCGGGGGCAGACTGGTCCCAGTCCCAGCACCCAGCTCGTGAGCCAACAGCACCCAGGCTCTTCCCCAGCTGTGGGGATGAAAACCCCCAAAGCCTCTCGCTTCCTAACGAGCCCAGAGCCCATCTCACCTCCAGAGGTCCCCGGGTGCTGGTGACCCAGGAGCTGTGTGAGCTCACACTCACTCTCACGCATCCTGGCTCTCTGCCGGGCTGCCCAGGTGAGCAGCCCCATCACCCACCCGTCCCGGGCCGCGCACACTTACTGAACTTCTTGAAGCCCCCTCGTTTCTGGCCCTCGGCCATGGCTGCGCTGCTGGGTGGGAGGCTGGAGAACCGAGAGGGAACAAGTTTGAAACCCTGAAGCCGTTCCCTGCCCGCTCCTCCCTTCCTGCCCTCCCCCTCGCAGCC